CAGCTATTAGAAGCAATATCTGTCGAAGATGGTGATGTCTAATGGGTTTAGAGAATTCTTCTGAACACTCTACTATTCGAACCCTCACCATTGATGAACAGAATTACATATTTCTCAAGGTATTTTCCTTTCTCTTATGCTTTCTTACCATAGGCTTGTATTTCTTTGGCTCTCTTCTATTGCTTTCTGTATATGCTTAGTTTCGGTTATTCATTTTGAATTGTCTTTTGTTTCTCACCAATTTGTCCATTCTCATTTACTCTTTGATGCTTGACTGATTCAGTGTTTATGGACTAACTGGATCAATTAATGAGTGAATGTATTGTTCTGATTTTAGCTTTTGGTTGTCATTCTTTCTCTTGTTGGTTTAGATTCATTATGAAATCATTCTTTCCGAAATCATTATTTTCTGGTGTTTGATCAATGATTCTTTCTGGTTTAGAGTAGTAAATCATTCTCTACTGGTTATGAATCATTCCGATATATGTAGTTCAGTTCTTAACTTCGCTTGAATCGTCTACTCCCTTTCATGTCAACGTCTGCATATGGGGGATTATCTGATTTTTGTTGTTCTTTTAGTGTACTGAAACAGATAAGAAGGGGAACAGTTTTGGCCTTGGACAACTGCAAGAGCTCGAGGCCACACGTAAAAGAAAAAAATTATATGCAAGCTCTGATTCGTCATCTCTTGTAGAGATCCAAGAGGAACTTTGAGCAGCCAAGCGTACGATATCAGAACAAGCATAGGAGAATACTCGGCGTGATGAGCAGCAAAACCAATCTCAAGCTCGGATCGACACCTTGGAGAAGCTTGTCTCTTTCATGAAAGAAACTAATCCTGCATTTGCAGCTTACATTACTCAATCAGAAACCGCTGCCCCAGAAACTGCACCAGCTCCGGCACAACCCAGGCACCTCGCAAGGCTAACCACCCAGCCTCTATCATTTCCCTTAACCATGAACAATTGAAAGTTTTTTGGACAAATGATGTGTATGGTTTATTTTGTACTTTAGGGAATTGTGTGTATATAAGTTTTTTGGACAAATGGTGTGTATGGTTTAAATACTTGTTTCAAGTTCTTTCGTTTATTGCTTTTTTAAACAATCGGATAATTATATTGTATTTCACTTTTTCCCTTTTAAAGTTAGGAAAATATTTAAATTATTCGTGTGTCA